CCGCCTCAGGCCTCTCCCGCCGCTATGCGCGCCTGCGCCCTGACGTCACTTCCGGCGGCGCCGGCGCAGTGCAGGGAGACGCCGTCTAACCATCGAGGGGGAGAGACGGAGGGGCCACCTGGTGTGGAGGCGCTCTGGGCGGGTGGCGGAGGCATAGGGACGGGATTGGGGGGGGCGGGGGAGGCCTGTGGTGGGGCCTGGGGAACATCTGGGGAACATCTGGCCGGCCAGACAGCGTCTCTGGGTTCCTCCAAGGTTCTCCTGGATGCCTGGAGATCTCCAGATTCGCCTGGAAGCCCCAATGACGTCACCAGGTTCTCCCAGACGTCTGGAGAACATCTCCACGTTCCTCCAGGGTTTCTCTGGATGCCCAGGTGATGGCTCCAGGATTCCCTGGAGTCCCCAGGTCCACTTGGAAGCCCGGATGATGGCTCTAAGTTCTTCCCAGTTTCTCCCAGATGTCTGGAGAACATCTCAGGGCTCCTCCTGGAAGCCCGGATAACATCTCCAGGTTCTCCTGGATGTCTGGAGAACATCTCAGGGTTTCTCCTGGGTTTCCCTGGATGCCCAGATGGTGGCTCCAGGATTCCCGGGAGTCCCCAGGTCCCCTTGGAAGCCCAGATGATGGCTCCAAGTTCTTCCCAGGTTCTCCTGGACACCTGGAGAACATCTCAAGGTTCCTCCTGGAAGTTTGGATGATGTCTCCAGGTTCCTCCCAGGTTCTCCCGGCCATCTCTGGGTCCCTCCTGTGTTCTCCATCCCCACTCCTCCAGGTCCCCTCCTTCCTCCCGGCATTTATTTCTGCAGCCCCCGAGCGTTGCCCAGACATCCCCCCCCATCCCACAGGATTCTGCCGAGAGGATCCCCAAAGAGGCCAAAACCGGCACAAAACAGCTGGGTTTTTATTAAATTCAGCGGAAAAACCTGCCGGTGGCTGAATGGCAGCCGAGAGCATAAAGAGAAAAGGGAAATATTGGGATAATGACGTGCAAGAAGCCAGAGATTTCAGAAACAAAGGGATTTTGGGAGAGATTTGGGAGCAAAAAGAAGAGATTTGGGAGCAAAACCACAAAGATTCAGGGTGAAGATTTGGGGTCAAAAGGGGGAGATTTGGGG